TGGTTCTCTCGAGCTCGGCTAGTGGTGTTTGACGAGTTCGGGTGGGTCTGCTGTGGGGGCTAGCCATTGCTCTCTTGGTAGAGACAGGTCGATTCGGGGATTGGTTTGGGGTTCGGTTGGCTCTTTTGTATAGGCGTTTTGCAATTTCGGTAGCAGCTGCTCGGGTCCGGAATCTTTCTTGTGTCGATCGTTCACTACGGGTCTGGCTCTTTCGTTTGTTAGGGAAGGGCTCCGTTTTGATTTCCTTTATTTTGTTGCTTGAGTCTGTTTAATTTTGTTTTTTTGGTCTAGGTTCTTCGCCTGAGTGGTTTATGTCTTGTCTCTTTGGTCTGGGCCGTTGGCCTCTGTGTGAGTGGGAGCAATTTATTATCCTGTGGGGATCTGCTCCTATCTCTATTCTCCTGTGGGGAGATTTTCGTTATAGTTTTTCTTGTGTTTGTTGTGTTGTTGTCTTGAGGGTCTTGTTTTGGTTTCTAGCGTTTGCTAGTGTCGGGCTTCTAGGCGGTCGTCAGACCTGTCCTCCCATTTTACTTAGCTTGGGATCGTGTTATTCAACCTTGGATTGTATCTTTGCACTTTTGTGCGTTTGTTATATATATATTCTCTATCGTTTCGTTTAAAAAAAAATGAGTCACAATAAGTTACAAACAATAAAGTCACTTTGGTTCGTTGTGTGGTGGTTCCTTGTTAGCCATCACCATGTCTGTGGCAGTTAGAGTTTCAAGTTTTAGCGTTGGTCATGTCTTCCATGGGTGGTGCTTTTGCAAGCTGTTGGTAAAGTTTATTCCAGTATTTAGTGTGTTTAGTATGTGTTGTCTGTGTTTGTGTATTGTTTGGTGTTTTTTTATTCTTCAATTTTGGAGTTAACATTCCCTACATATAGGAGCGTAGAATTTACTTTATAATTTATGAGTGTGTTTAGTTTAGTAATTTCTAGGTGCAATGCATTCTCGTCGTGTTGGTCTCTCTCTAAGTTCAACTTTATATCTATTTCAGTCGATTAGTTTTAGTCCTTTGTAATTATAAGTTCATTAAGAAAAAAACAAAAGAGACCATTCATTATTTTTATATGTTTGGAAACCCGCCAACTTCCAATTTGAACATAATTATTGACGCGGGTAATGGTTTTAAGTTTTAACTAATATAATAATGTGCATGATTATGTGTATTTTATCTAAAGGCCCAAAGTCCCAAATCATATGTAGCAGGAGTCTGGCGAGTCGTCTCCAATTGTCCATTTCCCGTCTTTCCACATACATTTGCAAACAGATGCTACCCTTCCCTTCTCTGTCTCTTTAATCTCACTTCTCAGTCTGGTAAGCGTCTATGGAAGAAATTTGAGCTTCTGATTCATTTTCCTTCTCAATTGTTGTTATCCGCAGCTCGTCCCTCGTAAGTTCGACGCTCGTCCTTGAGAGATTTTCATAATCAATCCAAGGTACACTGAGATTTGGAAGTTTCATGGTTGATTATTTATTTATTTATCTATTTATTTTGGCTTTTTTCCTGCTGAAACCAACTAGAATACACATATCTGTAACTCCTCGCACTGAAGTTTGCACACAGATCCCCAATTGTTTCTACTTGTTTTTATGGTTCGTCGTATATTCTTTTAACGGATAATCAGTTTTCTGCATGTATTTCAAATCCTCAGGGCTCATCCCGACCTGATCTTCCTATTTCGGTCAATTTCCCCTCAGAATCAGTAACTTCTTCGAAGCTGTAAAAATGGATGTTGATACGAAGGCCAATATGGTGAGGGTTTACGTCCCATCTTTTTTAATACGTCACGAAATGTATTATTTCAGTCCATTATATATAGTGCATGCTCGTTTTGTTTGCTTTGTTTCTAAAGTTGGACGGACCTGATTGGATTTCTGTAATTTACACATGGTAGGTACAAATGAGCGATAATCGGAGTTTTGACAGCAATTGCCAATTCCGCAGTCAGTCCAGAAAGATGTCCATTGGTGTCCTGGTTGATTCCATCAACTTGGCTGAACCTAAAGATATCAAGGAAACATCAGTATATGTTGCAGAGGATGGACCTTATAGCAAAGAGAATTGGGTCAAAGTCGGTAAACAACAAGCCCCAGTCGAGCAGAAACATGGGGCAGCCGCGCCAGATACCTTACCTTGGGGTTCCACTACATCTTTCAATCGAAAAATGTCCTCTGCAGCTGCAGTGCGTGATTCCGAGCATACTCCAAGTCTCCTGGCCACGGGCAGATCACGTCCCAGGTCGAAGTTATTGGAGACAGCATCTGCTACTCATTCTGTCAATTTTTTTGCTGGCACGACTGGATTGGAGTCAGACGAATGCATAGAGAAGATTGTTGGTGCCAAGATACACTCTGAGGAGATTGGGAAGGTTAATGCGGATCACGTTCACAATCGTGTTTGTTCAACTGAACCCGAAGTTGTGCTAGAAAAAGAACATGCAGAGGATAAGACTATGAACACAGAAACTGGGGGCCGTGAAACATTGAGAATGAAGCTGTGGGAGGTCTTAGGGAATGTTTCTTCACCCAGCAGGCATTGTTCTGACTTTCAGCCCACAAAGATGCATCCGGATCAGATGGATGGAAATCAGAGTCATAGTGATAAGAAAAACCCAAATTCAGATACAATTGAAAGTGATTCTGAAATGCATACTTTTAGAAGATCAGTGACTCGTTCTTCGATCCAGAACAGAGCGTCCACTAAAAGCCGGCGCTCCAAATCTGTTGCTCCAAAATCTACTCGCCTTAAGAAAAAATGTCCAGAGAAGAGAATGCTCCCACAAGACGATCATTCTGGAAGATTTTCTGATAATTTCAATGATTGTTCTTTGCCTTTTAAGAGGAACAAAACTGGGAGGTTGATTCCTGGAGGTGAGATACATCAAGGTCGTAAGCATGGAAATGCAGAGGAGGGTCATCAATCACAAGATAAAAACAGATCAGTACCAGCAGTTGGGAATCCAAAAGTGCAGAAAATTTGTAATAAAAACAGATCCGGCAAGAGGATAAGTGATGTACCTGTTGAGCCAAAAAAGGGTATTAAGAAAAAAAGCCCTGCGGCTCCAATAGATGTGATGACTGAGAAGCTCAAGAACGTTGAGCAACCAATTGATGTTACAGTTACAAACTTGAAGAATCAACAGAAAGACAAGTGCCACTCTTTCTCAGGGAACAACAGAAATTCTATACATAATCCTTCGACCTCTTTGTTTAAGACTAAGTCATCTGGCTGTTTACCAGAAAGAAATGTGACAGATATTCGGAATTCTGGTGAAGAAGTATTTAACAGAAAAGGCATCCGGAGTTTCAAAAGTCTGATGAGCTCAATACCTGCTGAACCAAATGTGCAAGTGGTATTATCTGTATCCTTAATCTTTCAGATATTAGGTGGCAGTCATCATAACGTTAATTGTGGCATGATCATATACATTTTGCTCTCCTTTAATATATTTTAAGGATCGTGGATGCATGTTAGAGAATAGTCCCCTTATAAAACCAGGCCTTATCATCGAAGACGGTAAAAATGGGGTGTCCAAATCGTCTGCTGAAGCAACTGACACTGAGAGCACTGAAAATGATTCACTTATGAAAGGTAACTGTATTTTGTGATTCACTTATATATGTTATTTTTCATTTAGAAATATATATATGATGTTTTCTTCAAATGCATGATTGTCTGCCAATACCATACTTCGATTATTCCGCTCGCCATTCTACATGTAGTAAACTTCATTTGCAACTAGAGGCTAGTGATATTTATTCGTATATGCCTATATGATACACCAAATAAGATGTTTGTATCATCGCCTAGAGTTATTCAAATCAGCGTTACTTCCACAATATTTCTCCTTAATTACATGAATTATTGTATCTAAACTCATATAAAGTGGGCAATATCGTAATGATGCTCTTGATCTTGACTCTTTCATTTTCTGGCTATGTAATGTTGTTTGTTTCTTTGTTTAATTACTTTTTTCGTAGTATAGAGAAATCATAATAGCATCTTCTATAGTTATGAGTTACAATTGACATGGTTTGGTTAGACAGTACACTCATTAAGCAGGGCTATCTTCAGCTTAAAATATGGATACCATTCTATCCACATGCAGGTTGTATGGAGTCGAAGCAGGTATCTCCAGAAATTTATGTTCAGGAAGAATTTCAACCTGGTTCTAATAAAAGTGTAGGGCACAAGAAAGATGTTGAAGTTAGCGGATATAGTCCTATGGCAGAGGCTTTAGAAGGTTATCAGTCATTGGGTAAACCTTTACTCGTTCCTGCAGCATTCTCCTTCTTGGATTTACCTCTCTCTTCTCACATATTTATAATTTCCTTTTTCCCTGACTCAAATTAACAGGGACTCAAGGCACTAGCAAGCTTCAAATGAACGCAAAACAGAATTACGAGGATGGCCTCGCCAGGTAGTCTTCCTCCCTTGAGTAGAGAAAACAATCTAGGAAATCGAAATGTTTTCAGACCACTATGCATTTGTTTCTGACAGTTTCTTTCTCCAATCTCAGAGCTGTAGAACTATTTACCGTGGCTTTAGCTCGTGTTCAAACTAAGCTGAAGTCATTTAGTAACAAAAGATCGTCTGAAATTCTGCTAGCTGCTGCCGATAATATATTAGTTCTGTTGCAGGATGCTGAATCTCATATCAAAACAGACATGTAAGTATTTAAATAATGAGTGGTTTGTGTATTGGAATGTTCTTCCTTTGGAGCCTGATGCTTGTCTATCCCAGGGGAAAGCTGAACAATTTTACTGAACAGAAAAGAAAACGACTGGAAACTAGATTTGAAGGTGTGTTTCTAGGAACTTTGCCCACTTAATGGACTTCACTATTTTTTGGCCAAAATGTCCATGTTATTTTGTACCTATCGTCATGTATGCTTAAAATTTTAGTGCTTTCTAGATTGATTAAACTTCTATAACTTGATTGCCTGATTGGGTAACCAATTGATACTAAATACTTTTTAAGCATGTCAAATATAAGCTTAGAATGCTTTTTTCAAAAGTCACAAAGCTTCATGCCTGCCAGCATGAAGATGTTCTTTTGCCACTGGACTGCGTCTTGGTTTTATGTGCTTGCTGAAATAAGAGTGTTAACCCAGAGACTAGTCTGTCTCATCATATGGCAGCCATTGCGTCGCCATGGAAGTATGGCGTGGCGGATTTCAGCCAAACCGCTATGCTTTTGAAGAATGTTGGTTATGGCTGCGCACAGACCGTCGCAGTGGGATTTTGGTCTGAAATGAATGTTTATGAAAGAACTGAAAATTCATTTACATGAATCAAAATAAGAGTAGTTGGTTCAGTTCTCTGTCGGAGGAGTTGCGGAGTTGCTACAGATGATTTGTTCAACCCGTAAATCATGACCACAAAGCCAATTAATTTTTAACCATTCTGACTCCCTCCTAGAGTTCTGGCTTTTACTTTAGTTATTGAAGTTAAATTGTCCTTCTAACACCTACCATTTTTCTACTTCCAGAAAAGATTTGGTTAAGTTCCTTTAGCATCTTGATGCATTAAATGTCATCTCTGCATAGCAACCAGATAATCCAGGAAGAATTTGCCTTCGGCAGCCATTTCTTGATGAATTAATAAATGCTGTCTTTGCAGATCAACAGGATCAATTGCTTGGAATATGTAATAAATTTAAAGAAGAGATTGGCCAGCATCTTCGGGATTATGGTGGCATGATTGAAGATCTTGAAGAGCATGAGATCGAGTTCAAAAAATATGTGGATAGACAGAGTATGATTCTATATCCAAAAATAATCTCTAATGTTAATAACATATTAATAATCCTGACTAATTTCTCACATGCCTTTCTAATCAATTATGTACATAAGTTTTTATATTATCTATTTGAATCTTTGGCTTTGGAAAGTATGCATCCAGCACAAAATAAGCATCTGACCTTGACATATGTGCTCTTATGATATGGAACTTTGTTCTTGGAATTTCTGGTTGTTCCTTGATCTCGAATAATTGAATGAACGTCTTAATTGGGCCTCTAGCACAGTCTGCTTGTTTCATTTGCTACATTTTCTTTTGTAGCACTTGTCCATGAGATGAATAAAAGAGCAAGGATTTACAATCAATGCATATTTTAAGTGAACTTAAATCGTATATCGCAATCATATAACACTTGCTTTTTCCTATGTACTCTTAGGAGCAGCCCACCGAAAATCTCTGTCGCAAGTAGAGCAAGAAATTAAGATTCAACTTGATGATGCTGAATGCAGGATTCTGGATGTGCAGGAAGTGAGTTTGCTTCCTTTAAAATTTGCATCGTGTGATATGTTGACATTTTTAGTGTCTTTAGTGAATGAATCGGTGCATCTGAAATGATATATTAAACATATCCACTAAGAGGTAGTTACACATTTGAACTGTGGTGTTTATCCATGTCTAAAACAGTAAGCTGGAACTGTGGAAATTTATCTTAATTTCTCAGCCAAAAGAAAAAAAAATAAAATTAGACTCTGCACTGAAATCATTGTTGAAGATGTTGTACTTTTGTTAACCTTGTTAAAACTGGTGTGAGATAATGAGCCTTAACCCTAAAACTTTCAGGCTATCTTTTTAGATTTTTGTTTACTTTGTTGGTGATGAAGGTTGCCTTTTATTTATTTATTTATATATTTTTTTACTTCATCACACTTAAATAAAGAATATTGAAGAATGCACTGTAACCTAATCCTTGTGATTGGATTTGATCATGCAGCTAGCTAGGGAGAGGATGGTTCACCTGAAACTTGTGGTGGCCGAGTTCGTAAAACACAGTACACTTGGATGACATTATGTTCGATGTTGATGCTAATTAGACATTACTAGGCTGCTAGAATTTTCAGTTATGTCAGACAGTTGATACGCTGTCTCGATTTTATACTTGAAAGAATTGTCCATGTCTATTTGCTTGGAACTAATTTGTATGTGCAGGTGTCAAGCTTGTTCATCATAGCACTATTGTCTTTTCGTGTGCAGTTTGCTGTTTACAAATCTACTTTGGTTGGAGATGGTCTTAGTGCACATTTTGCAGTTTTCAAATCTACTCTGTTGTGGCTGTACTTCCATCATATTTGTATCATTTTTATTTGTGCCTTTGTTTTGTAAAATAAGTTATACATAAAAAAAGAGAACAAAAATTAGAAAATCTAATGTTCTAGTCGTACCTTTTGTTTCCTCCTAAACTTTGGCAAAATTATCTATGTGCCCCCTAAACCTCATCTACGTACTCCGTTGAGAGAAGTTATCGGAGCGGCGTCTTGAGACCAAAAATTAGTGGATAACTAAACACTGCATCCTATTATTACCGATAGCCTACTAACTAAAGACGTATTTATCCTTTTTAAGTTTAAAAAAAAAATACAAAAATATCAAATCCTTACCACAACCAAGGCAAGGGATGCATGATTGGTCCGGTATACATAATATATATGGTCACGCTTCCATGAGAATGGTGCCCAATAAAAGAAATACGAATGAATCGTGACCATTAGATCGGATAATCTAATGGATAAAAAAAGCTTAAATTATAAATTCATTAAGAGTAATGTGGTAATTTACACATAAACTAGATGGACCCACAAACACACAAACTCTCTACACCCACGTGGTCAACCCACATGTCTCCTCATCACACCCATCTCTCTCCCTCTCTCAAAGTCCCACACCTTGTACCAAAA